AAAAACACTAAAATATGGATACTTTGAGATGATACAGCAGCATAATGGAGCATAACATAGTGTGTAGGACGACCTATCCCTAAACCTAACCCTAAACTGATTTGTACTGGATTGAGTTATATTGGACTGGCTCAAAATAAACTGAACCAGTTCAGAAGAAATTGAACTGGTTCAAAATCATATTGAACCTGAACTACAACACATACATTTACAGTGCACAGCAATCATATCGTGTAAATTGGCCTAAATACCTTGAAAGGCAGTCTTTAAAAACACTAAAATATGGATACTTTGAGATGATACAGCAGCATAATGGAGCATAACATAGTGTGTAGGACGACCTATCTGTTACTGGAACAAGACAAATAAATAAGAAATTTGCTTATGATAAAGGTATTCAAGATTATGTTTAAAAAAATCAACTTTAAAATCAATCCAATGCTAACAAACATGCTGTACCTTCTTCATCATAATCAGGGTTGGAAAAGATGAGATCATACTGGCCAGGGATGTCATCATTCTTGAATTACAAACAAATCTATTTTAAAGTTCTKTTTCATCACGTCATTTATTCTACAAGATAACAGATACCTCTTTAGCTAAATATGGTTTGTAGATCTTTAAACAACAGCAATATGTCCTGGTGCCTGAAAAGGATTGGAATCAAATTGACATAAAATGAATGAATGGATGGATGGACGGAGAGAGTTAAGGGAGGAATATGAATCAAGATGAATGGATAAACAAGTGAATGACTGAATAAATGGATAAAGAAATGGAGTGGATGGATAAGTGGATGGATGGATGGATGAAAAAGTGGATGSATAAATAATGAGAAAAAAATATCATTATCAATCTTATTACCTTCAATATCTGTTAAAACCAAGTAATGAACAACACTCTCTTGTGGTTTATCAAACACTTGACCTCCATCTTTAACAACAAAGTAAATTAAATCTCTGTAGTCTTAAGTTTTAATATTAAAGTTGGTTTGCATTTTTACCTGGTAAACAAAGTGGTGGCAGACTTGTTAATACTCCTGCTGCTATTGGTAACATTGTACTCCCAAGACCAGGACCTGTTGATACACGTCGACGTATTGACTTTGTRCCTTTGACGGGAGTAGATGATGTCACAGAACCCGGCGGGTAGAATGGACTTCCTATATAATAATAAATAATCTTTTTATCATGATTATACTAATGCTGCAGCTCCTCGTTCATTGAAAGGTCATCATAGAATAYAGACCCCTMCTAGWCTCMTCTCAMAGACRTTACGAGGCTCGTTCYAGAGTGACCTGGGAATGAGCCTTGTAATGGCTGTRAGARGAGACTAGACCCCTCCATAYTAYAGTGGAATAAGAAAATTACCATCAACTTCAGTCGTTGTGTATGTAAACACTGCAGTCTCTCCTGACAATGCCGCCAGCACATAAGGCTTGTAGAATGATTTAAAAATTGGCAAATTCTTGCTGTTAGAACCAGACACAACCTTTTCCTAATAAAATAATTATATCATATCACTGTATTATCGCTGTTTTTAATTCAATGAAGGWAATCACAGGTGCACAATCAATACCTTGGTAGAAACTGGAGTAAGTCCAGTATCTTGGTCCATACCAACCACAAGGCACATCTCTATCAAGCTGTTATCCAGCTTCGTTGGTGATGGTTCATCCATTATATTAAGATTTTTTCGGTGGATCTGGTATCGTTTGATTTAAATCTTAGTGACTTTATTATCACTGCACAGCACTCAAAAGATTAAAATTATTCAAATGGAAGACTAGTTAATTAGCATGAAAGGGTGCAAASTAATGCAAGTACCAAAAAGTGATAATTAGACAATAAGAAACTATGAAGATAGCAAGACTAAGCTCTATTTRATTGTATTATTTTTACTGCAATTTAAAAAGACTATTAATTAACTTCTAAGTGCTTTAACATTGCAGGGCCGAACCCTTCTCAGACTCATTCAATAACATTTAAAATTGAATCCCAAGGGAGAATAATGTCACTCTGCAAAATTAAGAGATCGATAAGAAGTATTCAAAAATAAAAGAAATTGTGATGGTATAAACAAGTAATAAGCTTTAGAATTTAAGCGATCGATCAGTGATGAACATTCACAGAAATCCCCAGGGAATTTATCGATCRGCTGAAACATACTTACCAAATCACAGGCATAATTACAGAAAAAATGTTTTAAATGTAGAAGATCTACTTCAGGGAAATAAGAGATGATCRAGTAACTTTCAATTTCTGCGAAATTGTAACGATGGGCAGGAGCTCGTTTATTGCAGAAAGTAAAAGGCGTTCCTCTCTGATTAGATCCCAGTGTTTTTACCGTGGTAGCCACGTGGTTTATTGTTGCTATGGTGCTCCTCCGCGCCAAAACACAATGAACAAAAATTATACCATAGGGAGGRGAGTAAAAGCAAAAGTTATTATATCACTTTGACAATGAAATTTAGGAAACAATTTATTTTTGAAAAGTGTTTCTATCTAACTCACTTTATTTTTGTACTATYTTTAGTTTTATTAATTAACACTTTGCACTTTTGAGGATATATTCAAATATATTTTTTTAACTTACCCAGCCCCTCCCCCAGTAAAGAAATTTTCTGATGTAAAGATTCAATATGGCGGACAAGTTCAAATAACCTTCATGAAGAAAAGTCTGTTTTAATCGACTAAAATGGATGCAAGAATACAAGCAATTCTTGCAAGCTATGGTAATGATGAAGAAGTCGCCGAAGAGGAAGAAACACCAAGGTCTCCGTCACCTCCAAATAATCTCGAAGAGTTTCTCGATGCTCTTCCTGAAGGATTGAAAGAATGGCCAAACAGTCACGACTTGGAAGAGCTTGAAAATCTTAATCTGACAATAGAGACTGTTGGACTAGGTGGTCTAGAGGAAATCAAGGAGGATCTTTCGACATATGCTCGTATCCTTATCCAATAAATATCGATGGAGTGTTTTGAAAAATGCTAGTTGTCCCCAAGGTTAAGTTACATGTATCTCACTCAATAAATGTTATTCATATTTAACAAATAAGCTTAAATAAAGCTCAGCCGTGTTTTATTATATAGATTTTGAGCACAATCGTGGTTTATACTCTCATAAACCACACTTTTTTGGCCAATCAGAGTGCGTGCATCTGTGTAATAAAGTTTAATAAACTATTTGTATACATCTCTTAACATCAACCAGCATTTGATACAAGTTTGCTTGATGATGTGCAAAGACAAGTAGAAGAGCTTGAGCATCGATTTAGCAAATATAGTTCAATGTTGCTAGAGTTGGAGTCTAAACCGCTTGATCCTGCCACTCCATCGAAACATATGCTGAGTCCTACAAGTGTACGAGGTAGACAGGCAATAACTCATGTACTGAGGTGTTGATGGGACTCACAAGAAGGGGGAGGGGTTCGAAACATGGGGAAAAGATTGGGCAAGGCAATATGTGTGGGGGCTATGACCTCCCCAGTTCCTGATTTGTAAGACTGCTGGATATGGCAATGAAAGACCTTATCTTACTTCCATGTTTTAAAAGTTACTAAATCTATCTTAGTTTCTGAAGGATTTGAATTCTAGGCATTCTTTCCCTTCACTTTCTAGAATACAGTATCTCAACACCCTACTCATTTCCTCTAAAATGTTCTTGCATTTTAATATTTTTTTTGTTCTTGAATTCAGATRGTAATTTGTACAATAATTTTCAATATTGTTTAGCACTAAGCACAGACCATTCAAACCAAGTAATTAACAAGAAGRAMAGCACCAAACAAACAAGGGTACTTTAAACTTTGTGTCAATATTTGTAGCTTACAGTGTAGCTTAAAACATCACAACTCTATCATGGGCATGTGAAAGTCCTTCACTTTATACATTCTTAATCTATTAAAAACCAATTAATAATATACAACCCATGAACTCAAATGGTCTGAATATCCATCCATGAAAATCATGTATCATGAATGTCCTAGGATTGCAAGCTAATTTAAAGTCTTTACTTGTTAGTTTGGAGTCACAGAGGATCAGTCTAGTGTATCAAAAAGTATACAGGTATTATTTGTATATCAGTTGTATACACCTACTTGCGAAAACGTTGTCATAAAAAATAGGACATTTGTATTTAGTAAAAAGAAATAAATCAAAAAGACAAAAGAAGAATCACTGAGGCTGAACGCTTTCTTTTGTCTTGTTTTAATCTATTCCTTTTTACTAAATTCAAATGTTCTATTTTCATTGACAATGTTTCTGCAAGTAGGTTTATCTATTTAATATTATTTTCTTGATTTTATTCTCTATAATTCAGAATACAACATATCCAGGGTTTTTCCCAAGTGAAATGACTCCATTACCTGGCCAGATAGAAGCACTTCAATTATTGAACAATATTATTAAAGCTCAAAACGTCATGGTAAAKAATTATTGTCAACAAATAAAAAAAATGGGATTATTGAAACTGTTTTTATTATTATCTTACATATTATTTGTACATCATTTCAGCCTTCCTTTAGGAAGATTCTCAAGAAATTGTTTCTCTCAGAGGCATCAGTAGCAGTACTCCAGGTATGCTTACTTCAAATTTATTCGCTCACTGCAGCTGCATTAGGAGATTTGATTTGATAATCTGGGCTTTCTCTTTTCTAGGATACATTTTGGTGGTTCTTCCTCAATGAATTCAAGGTTAATTAATGTTTTTGACTAAGTTTATAATGGTGTTGTTCTTTTAAGTCATACTGTTTTGAGGGAATTATTTTCTTGAATGGGTTGTATTATTAGGAAATATRAAMAAAATGKCTAAATCTGTTATGTTTGTCAGACTGACAGCAAGAGTGCACAGGACGGTTTGTTCAACAGGATTTCTGACAGCTTTGTGTCATTGTTTTTTGGTGTTCCCACTCAGTTCAAGGATAGGTTCTTTACTGTGAGTAATACGTTATTCATCCATTTTCATCAATTACCAAATCAACTCAACATTTTTAATTTACATCTCTTAGAATTATTCATCTATTTTTTAGTTCAYCCATATATTCATTTATTCAAACACCAACCCATCCATTACTTTATTTGCTCTTTCATTTATGTGTATTAATCAATCTTTTCACTCAATTCCTTCATTTGTTCAATTTCCCATTCATCCAGTCCTACAATCATTTAATACTCTAAGTTTTTATAGAGTCATTTTGTGTTCAGTATTATCCAGACTGTCTATCACAAGCTGTTTACTCCGCCTACTGTCAAGCCTTCCCTCGTTCTTATAGTCTRTTTGATGAATCATTCAAGACAAATCTACTCAACACTATAAGTGAATGGATGACAGGTACTCATTAGTAAACAACATGCATGATTATTGTAATTATCAATTATATTTGAATGAGTAAATTTTATGATTATTATGATAGGAACCAAACCACCACCTCACGCTTGGAAACAATGGAACTTTAAACTCCTTGAACCAGCAAATATACGAGATCTACAAGATAACAGGACAGAATCACTGAAAGGTATTGAAGAGTACTATCTCCTATTTTCTTTTCTTCCTTCCCAGTTCTTCACCCTTTATTTTCACTACTTCTCCTTTCTCTTTTTCACGATTTTCTCTCAATTTTATCACCTCCTTTCACGTTCTCATTTTCCCATTATTTCATTTTTTAATTCCCAACTCACATTGGTAGCTATTACTACTAGCAACAACTCAATGGTTTTATTTTTGAATGAAATTCTCTCTTTTCAGTTGATATGTCATTTGATATTGATGCAACTCTAGAAGAAGCACAATTCCAAGTTCCTAAATCTGTAAAGAGAGTAACAGTACCCCAGTTGTCAGCCTCTAGAATGGTCCATTCATCAAGAGCAACAGAGGTAWTAATAATATAATAATAATAATATATATMATARATAATCCCTGCAGTGAAACATGAAAAGCTTTTCTGGTTGACTAACATTTTTATGTTTCCCAACAAGTCTCATCAAATAGGTCCAGGACCAGACTTTGAAAGAGTGAAYTTCAAYATMTTYGGTCAAAGTCCYTTRGTGTCGCATTATCTCAAAATGAAAGAGCTTACAAGTGGGGAAGGACCAGCCATCGCTATTGGTAGAACAGAAATCTCAAAGCCTCAGTATCCTTGATGATTGACAGATTATATCAAATAATACACTCAKTCTATGCTTCAATCTCATGCCCAGAGCCTTCCTTTTCATGGCCAGGGCTGTCAACAAACAGAGACAGGCTTAAGTTTTCATTACTGGCCAAGAAGCAAAGGCTTTGGGTTCCAGATTGGGCTTTATAAACAAACTTTATTACTCTTTAAAGAAAGACTGGAACAAATGTTGAAAATATGTTGTGCACCTTTAACTCTAGTACAGAGCACCTGCCCCTACATACAAACAAGTCTTGGATGAAACAAAACGAACTGTCAARTCAAGAAATAACAACTATCAAAGGTAATAATGTCATCCTAATGTTAATCTTGAAAGCTAGTCCTTGTTTGTTCAGTTACAAGAGTTACTAAAGACAAAATGGTCTTCTTAAACAATGACTTATATTCTAGCCTGTATAACAAATAGTTACAAATAGTTTTACTGTCACATCATTGTCTTTATAAACATAATATTTGTTTAATTGTTTGAAACTGGTTTRCAAGAGATACAAGAATGTAAATGATGCCTGATATACCCTTGTCCTTTGCAGAGTTCTTGACGCTTCAAACCAAGAAAGTATCAAAATACAAAAGCAAAAACGTACAGCGTTACGTAAAATTGACAAGTGAGTTGACAGTCTAAGGCAGGATTTGTTACGTATAGTTTACAACATGAGCGGCCGTGTTGTATGGGAATTACAATCTCGAGCCGCAGGCGAGAGATTGTAATTCCCATACAACACGGACGCGAATGTTGTAAACGACTTATAAAACTCCAACACAAATTAACATGAATTACAGTGAGATAAATGACGAAAAATGACAAATAAGGTAACTGCTGAGTTTAGTCCCTATTACGCATGCGCAATTTACTGCAACACAGAACATTTTGAATAATTATCCATCCCACATGGAAAGCAAGCCATCTGTTGCATAACCGAGTTCTGTTATCCGTCTTKGATTGCTTCAAAACCTAGTGAAGGTCTATGATGCGACACTAAAACTGAGACCTTTGCTAGTGTTGGGTTGTCTCAATGGTGACGACCGTGTTGTAAATCTGATACAACCACTAGTGGTTGTATCAGATTTACAAGGTCAATCACCTGATTAAATGGTCAGCCCTTATTGGAGCAATAGCTTATGCATTATTAATAAGTTTTATAAGTGTAAATACGTTATGTTACGTTACGTTACATTACGTTATGCTCTGTTCTTGAAATCTTTGATTTTTTATTATAGATTGAAAACAGATTTAGTTTTGAAAAATCAAGACATCAAGATAATAAGTGAAAAACTAGTAGATCTTGTGGTATGTATTTCACATATTTACTTGTGTCACTAATGACTATCATAAAGACTGGGTCACATGACTACTTTTGATCAGAAAACAATGGAAACGCAATGAAAGAAGCATGGTGTATGGCATCGGCGTAATCACAATAATAAACAAAGAATAAATAACATTATGCCTATAAGATTCAAATTTGGAAAATCACTCGACGATATTATTGTGAGTCCCATAAGAAAACCTTTGATTTGGTTGTGTTTTTGTTAGCTTGTGTGTTTGTCAGTTTTGTTTCATGCGTGTACCATGCCTCTATCGTGATGCCACAATCATAATCAAAATAACATAACCTTTCAATTATGATGACGATGATAATGACGCTAGTAATAATAATAAGATTTCTAATGTTTGATAACCATAATGCAGTAATGCAGAGAATCGTCTATGATTATGATTGACGATACCAATTATTAATAATAATCTTTATTAATCAATAATTATCGTATTTGTGCGTTTCAGTCTCAGCCAGACTACGGCACCGGTAATAACTTTGCTGCCAAGAATGTCACGCTAGATGACGACGAGGAGGATGATTGAGCGATATTAGTTTATTTTCTAATATGACAGGTGATAAAATATTGTACAGTATAATGTAAATAACGGTCTTTTGAAATTAATTCTAATTCTTATTTGCAGTTTATTAGTTTTATATTTATATTTTTTACATTTAGTGTTCGTAAACTCTCGAATTATTGTATTATAGTTTATACATATTAAATATGTATGTGAAATATATAACTTATAGCAGAATTTAACTACTTCCTAACGTGCGACTGTGTACAACTCGAAATAACTAGGACCTCATGTGCAACACTTTTACATAGTGGTCACCCCTATATAGCGACCACCATGTGCAATTCTACAGATTGTACAACATCTACGTATGTACATGTATTTCTCTTCCGACCACTCGAAGTAACAATGACCTAAACCACGATCACCTCGATACATCGGCCAACTCAACCTCTACATAATAACCACTTCTGTAAGACATCTCAAAGAACACTATTTTGGTGGCCTCCTCTTTGGAACAGTTAGCAATGTTCTAAGGTCGTCCGTTAGGCACTAAAGAGGTACGTTTGTGTAAGCTTCAGTCTTTATRCGGCTGCATAGCTTGTCTATATGCCTCGTCAGATAACTGCTCGAGAGATAGTGTGGTACTTGCTCCAGGTACTTGGTCGTTCTTTTTTCTGGCGTATTTCAGATAGATGTATTCTGTGCTCTTGTTTATTCAATATTAAGTGTTTATATGGCTGCACAGCCGCATTGTCTAGATGCTTCGTCAGAAAACTGCTCGAGAGATAGTGTGGTACTCGGTCCAGGTACTTGGTCGTTTTATTTCTTTTTTCTGGCGTATTCCAGATAGACGTATTCTGTGCTCTTGTTTATTCAATATTTAGTGTTTATATGGCTGCATGACTTCTTGTCACTTCAGATGGCACGTCTGAAAACTGCTCAGGAGATACTGTAGTTGAGCCAGGTACTTGAGAATTCTGYCTATTTTTCACGTAAACCATTGATGTTGATGAAGACATGGTGTGTTTAGAAATCTGTGCTCTTGCGTACTCAAGCGTGTTCTTCTCTGGATGGAAGAAAATCACGTAAAGTTTAGGAAAAAAGATGCATACTAGCAATCCATAGGAACATAGTAAAGTGGACGCATTAGAGACTACAGCAACGTACAGTCCATCTAAGGTAAAATGTACAGGATAGTAGACAATCCATGATAATATAATCACATAAAGAGAGAACACTATGCATCTCCCTTCGTTGTAGTTTTCAGGGATTTTCCTTGCTTTAAATGAATAAGATGTCGAGATGACAACCATCATTACTAGGTAACTTAAAAGTGCGATATCCAGTGCTTTTCCTATTGAGGTACTATATGGAACGCAGCGCAAGAGTATGGACTGCCCTGGTTTGATGGCTTCGTCAATTACAGAAGGATCCAATACCATCGATAGCACAGCCAATGTCGCTGGTATAAAGTTCAACAAGCAAATCCCAACAAATGGTGACTGGCCAAACCTTAGTCGYCTACAGACWACTGATTGGTTCCTAGTGTGCTGAGAATGAAGAGTGAATGCGTGAAGCAGTCTTTCAGTCTTAAGGAACAATACAGTCACACAAATGCTGTTGAGRACGTAACGCAAGGGAGATATRACGAGACAGAGWGTTGGAGAGGGTAGTTCTAAGTAGAAAATCGCCATTACAAACGATGCAAAAATCGCCGCAAATAAAACACACGAAAGCTCTCTATTCGAAGCTTTGACKATGGGTGTGGTCCAGATATGTATGAAAATCCCACACGCCGCGGCGGTGATAAACAGGCCAAGTATAGTCAAAGAAACAAGTATAATCGACACTGGACTTGACCAYTGTAGGTTYTCCAATGTGAGATCCACACATAATTTCCTGTCGTTATTGGGTTTTTGTTTCTTTRCGCATTTTGTACARTTTTCAGAGTTGATTTCTTGGCTGATGGAATCTTCGCACTCGCTGCATTTCCARCAACAGCTTGCTGTRTGTATTCTCTTCGTTCCGGGGGGACAATCATGGCTGCATACTGATACTGTAGGGGAGGAGTTGATCCATTCAATAGCTGCATCGTCTATTTTAATGGTTTGATTCCATCTTCCAACATTTTCTTTGACAATCTTTCCATTTTTGGATTGTATATTGATGACATTATACCATGAGAAAAGTGGATCACCCAAACTGTCAAATTTTGTCCTTCCACTCTTCCCGTTAAAGCTTACATTATGTATAAACCTTGTTATTTCTATGGGATTCATCAACTCTGTCTCATTAGAACAATGAGCCTGCGTAGCATTGCTTCTTGTACAGCGATCAACTTCATGTAGAGCATACGCAATAGCGTAAACTGCATCGACAATTTTTGAGCCAAARGCGTTGTACATGGAGTTTAGAGTCTCGATCGACATGGTACGGTTGTTTTGTGTTTTGCAAGAACTAGATGAATTTATTCTATCAAATGAGCAYTTAAATTCATGTTCCCAAAACACCATCCATGGTTTACTGGTATTGGTCTTTSCTGGTGTTACAGTTTTCATAAAGTCTMTGTATTCATYATATTCCTGGTAGATTGGGTTCATGCCAAAGCAGCCCTTTAATACCTGGGCATATTTCTCAAAGTAAGTTAGATCGTTAGTTGCCAAAGAATCACTAATCAGGAACGTTCGATCAAAGAGCTTTTGTCTTAATGCTTCGTCCAGGAATCGTCTTGATGGYACTTCAGTAGCCCATAATATAACTGTTTTGATATTGCTTTGTTGTTTAAGCTTTCTCACGATGTCTGTAATCCTGTTTTTATAACCTGTTCGAGTGACATACTCGGTAAACGCGATRCAAAACTTAGTACGTGTATTAGCAATATCCTCAATTCCCTTGGCTCCATATCGACCGTAAGAATCGTCCACTGCTATGATAGCTACGTATGTCCAGTTAAAGTACTCTATCAAGTCAGCAATAGCCYTTGATTGATGGGTATCAGGAGGGATTGTCCTGAAAAAGTTACTAAACATTGGATTGGTAAGTTCTTGACTTGATGCTGAGAAACTGATWAGAGGAATGCGCTTAACCTGAAGTAACCCAACTACTTTTAACGCGGTGCTTGAGTCTTCGGGTCCTATCACKCCTACAAYTTTGTTTTCTGGCCAATTGTTAACAAAATCATATGTTGCAGCAATAGCCTTTAGAGGGTAGTTACAGTAATCACGGATATCATACCCCAACTTAACATGTTGTAGTATGTTTGGATCTTTGTTAATTTGCTCAACGGTGAACGCCAACACTTGTGCAAATCCAAAACCATCGTTATTGAACTTGTTRCACAGGCCTGTATCCGTCGATACATTGGAGTGAATWGCTATTAATGCTCCRATAATAATGTGTCCATCTTTGAAATAACGAAGAGAAGGATGACTTGTACTGGCAATTGAGCTGTGAACCATTAATAGAGACAATGCAGTCAGGATAATCTTGGCCATCGTCAAGCTCCGTGCAGTTTACGAAGAATGTACGTATGATCTGTAATGTGCTATGTTGAGATCAAATGTATGGCACACTGAACAGCGCAAAGGTTTTGCAGATGTCTAGATTTTCACTTGCTTTTCAACCAATAGCGTTCTTTTTCTTCTCTAATTGAAGTTTGTCTTAATTGGATTCTGTTTGTCAGTACAACGAGACAACCCTCACCAATGGTGAATCATTTATCTTTGAAGAACAATTCTAAAGATCAAAAACAAACCGTCAAAACAGGAATAATTAGAGTTTGTCACCCTGTGTAGAATATTCTACACTGTTATTTTAATTACTATACTCCTGCAGTTCTCTATAACCTAGTTTGAGTAGGTCATTTACTAAAAGCTTTGCTCGAAGGCGACAATTTAGCCTGGACATTAAAAAACACATGGCGCCAAAGCAAAAGGCGAGATGTTTTCTGCCGGGTTACGGTTTTTGATGTTATTGGATTAGAAAGTTAATTCAAATATTGTTTCTTGTAGCATTGAAAAGCTTTTATGAATTATTAATTATTTAATAAAAAATAATTACATTGTAATTTTTATATTACTATTAATTTATAGAGATTCAACCGTAACACACAAGGCGAAAAAATACAAATTATAAAATGTATTAAGTAAGAAACTACTCAAATCGGTAACTGCAAAGCGAGGAAAAGATGAAAGACAAATGATAGTATCGCCTTAGCAAACTAAATAAACCCCTACACCCATTACATTAAACCTAACCTCGTTCTGTATTCTACCGCACAAGTAACCAGAGACTTGAAGAAACTCTTAGCATTCACTTCAAAGATTAAAAAGACTTTCATGGTTTTACAATTACCATCACATCAAAATGAGAAGGTCAAAAAATGAGAAAATAGTAATTTTGATGGCTGAAATCAAGAAAATYTGCCTTGTTCTTTTTTATTGCTGAACATTCTTCCAATTTCGCACGAGAGTGTGGTTGAGCTAATTGACAAAACCAACTTTCTGAACCTCWGTGCACTGTTAAGTGGTTGTGGCTTTTAGCTCGCCATCCGGTGGTCTGACGGTTCGAGTACCACTATAGCCATGTCCTATATTTTTTTCCGATTTCGACTTGCTCTCTCGCTTTACCTTGCTTTCTATTCTTTTACAATGTTGAAATTTCTTTTACAGGTCACCGTGTTTATTTCTATTCATTTTTTCATCCATCTCCTTCATCTATTTATTCATTCGCTTGTTCATTTATTCATCCTTCCATTTATTCGTTTGTTTATGTAAATTGATTTATTCGCAGCTGCTTTTTTGTATGGACTTCCTGTTTCGACCATTAATAATAACATTAAAAACTGTTTTTTGTAACTCAGCACAGAACTGGAAACAATCCGCTCAAAATGTTATGATTTGCTCTATTTTTTCCACACAAGRAAAGATCGAGTAAGATTAAASAAAAATGGACGACGCGCAAATAGCCATTACGAGAAGACATCCCCTTTTGGACTAATTTCCCAGCTTCTCGTTAGGTTTTGTTGATTGCAAACAGTAATWAATTGCTTTTTTCCAATGTGAACGCCATCCTTCAAATTTATTGTTTTGTGAGTAAAAAATATTCGACGCCTGCGGGCACTTATTGGGAAATTAAACAGACACAATGATTCAATTGAAACTGTGAAAAACAACAATGTATTTTCATGTGTGTAAACCTAATTTGTACTTTGTTCTTAGGTATCTGTTATTCCATGTTACTTTTCAATGTTTCGATGTGGATTTTAGTATTAGTACAGGTATTACTATCTTAAATTCAGTATGGAGTGGATTGGGCATTGGGAA